GTAGGAGAAAAAAAATTTCACAAGTGAAGCTCTACAACAAATTTAATTTAGGGAAAATTTTAATTCAAATCAAATTCAATACCTTTCCATTAAGTATATGAGGCAGAAAATGCAAAAACAAGGCTACAAGGGCACCAATAACTTATGAATTTTACAAGACATGGAGGAACGTCACAAGAGACTATTTTTAAAATAGGTTGAAATGTGAGCTAATACTGAACAATTTTAAAGTATGACTTAATCATCTGCAACTCACTTCCCTCTACGTGTAGTAAACTGTTACATCATTTTAAAAAATGAAAATTTTCCTATATTACAAACAGCACCTCACCAAACCCTAAAAAATCATTCACTGTCGGAAGAAGGATTAGGTCAGATGATCTCTATAGATTCTTCCAGATCTGAACATAACATCTTTGGAATCTCAAATTTTTGGGTATAGTGCTGTAAATTCTGAGGGCTTAATGAACATGTTACTATTCTTAACCCTAAAATGCGTAAAGTATCTTTGTAAGTAAATATCTGTTCTGCAATTGATATCACACACAAAGAAAAGCTCCTTAAGCTGAAGTCACTGCGCTGTACTTCGTAAGTTCAAAAGGTCATTCTTCACACCAAATAATAAGGAGTGGATTTCTACTCTCCATTACACAAAGAAAAGAGACATTAGATAAACACATACTTAATATTTCTAATTAAAGAAGAATTACACCCCTACTCTTTAATAAACATGGCCAAATAACACACAGAGTGGGCTTCTTGTACTGGATTACTTCAGTACACACAGTCATCCAAGTCATGGGCTTTTTTGTTTGTTTGTTTGTGTTTTGGTGAGGCAAGTGGGATTAAGTGACTTGCCCAGAGTCACACAACTAGTGAGTGTTATGTGTCTGAGGCAGGATTTGAACTCAGGTCCTCCTGACTCCAGGACCAGTGCTCTATCCACTGTGCCACCTATCTGACCCCATCCATGCCACGTTAACTATGGCAATGGCAATGCTTGTGTTTGCTGACTTGGCATAAGACTCACTCTAAGAAACAGTCTACAGCCTCCCTTGCATTTTGAGACTTCCAAAGTCTTAAGGAGGGAAGGGTCACAACAATGAATGAAAAAGAAAAGAAATCATGTGATAAAAGTCCAAAAGGTACAACAATTTTTTTAAACCCTTCTATTTTTCAAAGAAGTTACTTCCCACTGAAAAGTAGACATTTCTGTGATGAACTTGGGTACCCGTTTGCTGGCTGTAAACTGATCCCTCTCTACATGCATTTAGGGCAAGATTACAAAATAACTCACACTTATACAGCACTTTCATTATTGTTGACTGATTTAAAATAGGCACAAAATTACACAAATTGACATAGCACAGTCTAGTGGTGCAAACATTGGGCTTAAAGGTTGAAGATGTGCGTTCTACTCCCAGTTCTGCCTGTGTGACCTGGGTCAAATCACTTCAGCTGTCAGAACATAGATAAATGTTCTTGTCCATTGTCACATGGACTCCATGGTCTCTTCGAGCTCGGGGTGTAATATCTTTGGAACCTCAAACATTTTTCATACAGCTCTATGTGCTCATTCCTGTGAATGACTGCCAGTATATGGGGCTTCTGGGCCATTCCACTGTCTCTCAGCTCTAGGCATTTTTTCAGAGTACTTCCCATGTCTGCAATGCTCTCCTGGCTTTGCTGTGACTACTGACCTCCTCGGCTTCCTCTAAGTCCCAACTAAAATCCCACCTTCTACAGGAAGCTTTCCCCAAACCCTTGTCATTCCAATGCTTTCCTTCTTTGAATTATTTCCTATTTATCCTGTATAGAGCTTGCAGTGTATATATTTGTTTACATGTTGTCTCCCTCGTTGGGCTATCAGTTCATTGAGGGCAGGAACTGACTTTTGCCTCTTTTTATATCCCAAAAGCTTAGTACAGTGCTGGGCACATACCAGGTGCTTAATAAATGCTTAATGAATGAACAGAAGGAATGAAAAGATGAATGAATGAAAATTACTCATTTGTAATTTAAAAGTCTCAGAAAGTTGCCTTGGATACTTCTAAGTAAGGAGTCTGACCTTTGGCCGTACAATTAGAACGTATGAGGAACAGGACCTGAACCCCAGTCTCCCAGCCCCCAAGGTCAGACCTGTCTCCACTACAACTGTTTCTGTTCAGTCGGTTCAGTCACATCCAACTCTTCATGACTACATCTGGAGTTTCCTTGGCAGAGATACTGCAGTGGTTTGCCATTTCCTTCTCCAGATCATTTTACAGAAGAAGAAACTGAGGCAAACAGGGTAAAGTAACTGGCCCAGGGTCACACAGCTAATAAGTGTCTGAGGCTGGATTTGAACTCAGGAAGATGAGTCTTCTTGACTCCAGGACCACTGCTCTTCTCACTGTACCACCTAACTTCACTCTCCGCTACCCCATGCTTCCTCAAAAAGCTCATAAAATCCACAGGCTTTGTTGGCATTCTCCTCAATTTTACGCAGGGTTATGGATCACACCCTGAGCTGGAAAGAAACAATGAGGCACTTTGTTTTTTCTTCTATATAAGTGAAGATTTTTACCTTCTTTTAGAAGTAATAAATGGATATGACTCCCTTAAAATGAATTTTCCTGCTTATTTTCCTTTCCTGACTTGGAGTCTGGGGAAGATCCAGAAGACAAAACATTTCTTCCCAAGAGCCAGAATGCTAGAGAAAGAATGAAGCTATGAGTGACATAAAGTTGCACCAGAACCTGATGTTTCAGCACAGCAATGCAATATTCTCAGCAAGTCAGCAAAATGTTAAAACAACCACATTGGTGTGTTTTGCTGCATTCAGGTATTCTCTCAGCTACAGCAAGCAACAATAAATCCCTAAGAAGACCCAAATCTTTACGGGAAAGACTTCAGTTTTTGAAAGAAGAAAAGAAATAATCAAGTTGCAAACATCCTGGTGTTAACTGGCATTCAACCCCAACAACTGTCATTTTGACAGTCAAAAATATGTGGAAGTAAGCAACATACCCACCCATTAATATGAATGAAGTAAATTATGTAACTGTCTCATAACTAATTTATACTTCAAAGAGAAAATAAAGTGCCAGGATATAAAACGATACAACATATGATAACAAGATCCAGAAGTTGAATTAGTCTGTTCAAATGACTATACTCAAAGTTAAGAATTTGACAAACAGCCACCACTGCTAACCATAAAACCTGCACTGTTAGACACTTTAAACATTAATTCTAAATAATCTGTATTTTTCAAAAAATCTTTTGCTCCTTTGGCCACATGATTTTTTCATTCCTGGAGAACTACAAGTAACTCTACTTAAGAAAATAATTTAGAGTGGGCTCAATATGTACTGATATCATATTTTAACATTTTGCCACAGCATAATTCCACCCCAAAGCATCACTTCTAAGTAAAATAACAAGTAAGAATCTAGAGATAATTTCACTATACAGCTACACAAACACAACTAGACCCCATTAGCACTGGAGGGGGAAAAGGCTGTTCCTCATAAAGCAATATTAAACATAATACAATATTACTACAAAGAAGGGAGAAAAGATCCTGACACATTGAAAGTTTATCTCCATCTGGAGCAGCCACTATTCTGCCAGGGAAAAGTTAAATCCAAACACTATCCCAATTGAGGAAAATAAAAGGATATTCCCTAACATCAGGCAAATCTAAAGAGAGCAGACAAAGAAAGGGGTTAATCCTGGAACATCATCAAAGGACACTCACAAACGTTAACTTCAGTTGAAACAGAAGATCTCAACATTCCTAGAGACAAGACAAGCAGGACCTTTCAAACATTATTTCTGCATTTTCCTAATTAGTTCCCACCCTTCAGCACCACCTCACAGAAACAAGCTTCCATCATCCCAAACCCTCCTCTTTCTTTAACCAAGGAGAGCTCATGGTCCCATCTCTCCAATGACAAAGAAAAACACTCCGAAGGGGCTATCTAAAAAGGTTCCTGGGATCATAGATTTAGAGCTCAGGGGGACCTCAGAGGTCAAAAACCCTTCATGAGGCTTTCAAAGCCTTTCGAACCCTTTTTCTTGGTGCTACTAATTCGGAGTGCCAGCCCTTCGTCCCAGAGCCCGGGGGGGGGGGGATCAAGGGCAATCGGGGTGGCTTCAACCTCTCGAGCCTAGCAGGTGATGCTGTGTCCTGGTGCTGGCTAGCCATTTTGTGTGTGTGTGGATGCATTTCCCCCTTTCTTCTTCATTTTGTTCCGGAGATTGGGGAGGGAGAGAAATGACTCCTGATACCGGAAAGTCACTCTCAATACTGAGGGGCACTTACACCTTTAGAGGAGGAAGCCCGAGGAGGGGGCTACAGGCAAAGCAGGGGCGGACACATCTTCAAAGAGGAAAGGGAGGGGCTGGGCTTAGAGATCCTTAGCACCTTCGGAAGGGAGGGACACTAGTAGGAGAATGCAAAGGCGCCACCGCCTTCGGAGGGGAGGCTGGAGAGACTGGGCTGGGGGGGAAGGTTAAGACCCTCAGAGCGGAGACAGGGGAGGTGGGTTTGAACCCTCAAAGAGAAGACTAAGGAGGAGAGGGAAGCGGGATTGCACTCTCAGAAAGAAGACTGGGAAGAAGAGGGAAGAGGGTCTGCAGCCCCAAAAGGGGGACTGGGAAGGGAAAAGGGGGTTTTGCACCCGCAAAAGAGAGACGAGGGGAAGTGGGGGGGCTACACCTTCAGGAGGAGGTCTCCGAGGGGAGCTGGGTAGAGAGTTTGCACCCTCCGAGGAGGGTCTGGGGAGGGGGAGCGGGGGGCTCCCACCCCAGGAGGCGGGCCGCATCCCAGCAGAGGCTGCTGGTAGGCTCTGGGGACGGGCTGGCCCAGGGGCCCCGGACCCCAGGGGGGGTGGGCAGGGTCTCCCCCACTGGGGGGTGGGTTGGGGGGAGGGTCCATGGCCCGATGCTCGCTCTGCTCTCGCCAGCCAGGCCCCAGCGAGCCGGCGGGTCCCCGGCGCGGGGAGCGGCCTCACCTGGCCTGGCCACCGCCCGCTCTCGCCTTCGCTCCGCGGCCACTGCCGCGCGGACGGACGAACGAACGGACGGACTGACGGACCGGAGGAGGGCAGGGGGGAAGAGGGCGCCGCGCTGCCGGGCCTCGGGCCAGGCCTCTCTCGCTGCCGCCTCTTCACGGCTGCCGAGTCCCCGAACTCCCCGGAGCCGCCATCTTCTCTGCTCAACGTCGCCAATGCCACCACCGCTGACGCCGCCGCCACCACCGCCACCACCACCTCCGCCGCCGCTCCGGCCCGGGGAAGACAGCGAAACCGCGCATGCGTCGAGTCGCCCGGGGAAGGCCGGGCGGGCACGGCGCGGCGCGCGCACGTACGCACGAGCGTACGGAGGCACGAGGCCCAGGCGAGCCCGCCTCGCGTGGGGAGGCGGGGCTCCGAGGGAGACGCCATGCGGAGAAGGGAAAAGGTAGGGAGGGGAAGGTCAGGAGGAGGGGAAGCTGGGCCTGAGACCTTCTTCCCGTCGTCCCTTGCCTTTGTTATTGTTCTTTATTTAGGAAGGAGAGAGACTGTTCTGGGGAGATGGAGAGAAGGAGAGCCAGCCCGGGAAATCTGAACTCTCAGACTCCTTGGGGGTTCAGTTTCTTCAGCTGTAAAAGAAAGGGGCTGGACCTTGGAAATGACCTTAAGACCCCGTGCAGCTGTACTATTTTTAGGATCCTATGAAATGAGCTGAGCTGTGGGTGTGTCCCAGCGACCTACCTGATGGACCGACGCATTCACCTTCACCCTTGATAATAAAAGCGTACACAAACAACACTGCCTGCTTCTAGATTAAGAATGATAGCAATTATTCACGAGTAATAGTCATCATAATAGCAAAATTATATAGCACCAACTATGTGCCAGGCACGTGCTAAGCACTCTAAAATTATCTCAGTTGATAATAATAGCTAACATTTTTACAGCACCTACTATGTGCCAGGTGCTGTGCTAAGAGCTTTACAATTGTTACCTCAGTTAACAATAATAATAGCTAACATTTGTGTAGCATTTACTATTCACCAGGTGCTTATTGTCTACCAGGTAATGTCTCATTTGATCCTTACAACAACCCTGTGAGGGAGATATTGTTATCCCTGTTTTCCACATGAGGAAACTGAGGCAGGCAGCAGTTACGTGATTTGCCTAGGGTCACACTGCTAGTAAATGTCCTGTCTTTGTGACTCCAAGCTCTGCACTCTATCCATTTCACCACCAAGCTGCCTACAATTTGCCTTTCAAGGCCCCCTTGAGCTTCTGAATAAAGCCTTTTCTGATCCTCCCCAACTGCTGGTGCCTTCCCTCCCAAACTGTTTTGCATTTAACTACTTTGTATCTATTTGAATTTATTCACCTTATATTTACACAGCCCATACCTATTTACTTATAGGAGTACTTGTGGTCCCCCCCACCCCCCCATTAGGATGTAAACTTCTTGGGGACAGCTAGGTGGCGCAGTGGATAGAGCACTTGCCCTGGATTCAGAAGGACCTGAGTCCAAATCTAGCCTCAGACACATAACACTTACTAGCTGTGTGACCCTGGGCAAGTCACTTAACCCCATTGCCTAGCTAAAAAAAAAAAAAAAAAAAAGGATATAAACTCCTTAAGAGTAGAAATTGTTTCATTCTTTGTACTTGTCCCCAGCACTTAGCTGGGTTCCAGGCACAAGATGGATACTTAATAAATGCTTATTGATTGAGTGATTAAACAACATAGGACGGTAGCCCTACAATTGGGAGTCCAAACCTGTCATTTTACAAAAGAGGAAACTGAGGCAGACAGCTTGACTTATGCAGTGTCACATAGCTAGTGTCTGAGGTCACATTTGAACTCAGGTCCTCCTGACTGCAAGTCCAATGCTCTATCCACTATACCTTATAGCTGCCTGCTAAACACTTTCTTCATAGCAATCCCATAAGGGAAGTCATATAAGTATTATCAGTCCCATTTTACAAATGGAAAAGTCCAGTGACTTACAAAAGCACACGAAGGTAGTAAGTGCTTGAACCAGAACATGAACCCAAAACTACTAACTCCAAGCTCAGCATGGCATAGTAGAAAGAATGCTGAGAATCTGGAGGACCTGGGTCCCATCATGTCCCTCTTCTTCTACTTAATAAATTCTAATGGCTCCCTATTACCTCAAGGATCTTTGACGTCTAAAGCCTTTCACAAACTTTCTCAAACCTACATGTTCAGCCTCATTATACGTCATTCCCCCTCCTGCACTTTGCAGCCCAACCAGACTGACCTTCACACAAGAACTGAACACAATTCAAAGGAACACAATCTGGTGAAGATGAGAGGATGCTGGTTTTCTAGGGACTCTATTCTTGGCTCGGTAATATCCCTCACACAAGACCCTTCGTTACCCTCGCTGTCTCCCATGCCTGGAATGCCCTCTCCCTCCACCTCTCACAATCCCTTGTGCAGCCTTCTGTGAGAAGCCTTTCCTCATCTCTTTCTAATGCTCTCCATCAAAAAATTATATTTGCATATTCACACATATATGTATATGTATGGGTGTGTATGTTATATCTTTCTTTAGAATGTAAGCCCCTTGAGGGCAGAAACTTTCTTTTTCATCTTTGAATCCCTAGTGCCTGGAATAGTGCCTGACAAGTAGCAGGAGCTTAATAAATATTTATTAATAGGTTGATTGATTATATTCAACCCTGTCTCAAATACTGGCTAGGTGTGTGATCCTGGGCAAGGAACTAGACCTCTGTCAACCTCAGTTTCCCTCCTCTATAAAATGGACTTTACAATCCCTCACAAGGAGGTTGTTACAGGATCCAACCTTGAATCTCTCTCTCTCTCTCTCTTTCTCTCTTTCTCTAGGAATACTTTGAAAGTTTTCTATTTAATCTATTATATACCTAATATAACATATACAATATAATATCATAATATATACTTTTTAAAAGAAAGTTTTATTTAAGAGATTACATATACAATCCTCTCTTTCTGTTCTACTCTGTATATAGAAATACTTATTTTATTTGGTGTTCATTAAGATCAGAACAATTATAAAATTAAATGAAAATTTTAAAAAAGATAAATGTCACCCCTTAAAGGCTCAAAGATTTAAAACCAGGAGGGGCAGCTAGATGGTACAGTGGATAGAGCAACGGCTCTGGAGTCAGGAGTACCTGAGTTCAAATCCATCCTCAGACACTCAACTCTTACTAGCTGTGTGACCCTGGGCAAGTCACATAACCCCTTGCCTAGACAAAAAAAAAAAAGCCTTTCATCTCCTTGTCCAGTCCCCTCATTTTACAGAGGAGGAAAGCAAAGTCCACACACAAGAAGTGACTCATCCAAGGTCATGCAAGTAGGAAATAATAGAGCTGGTATTTGAATACAGGCCTCCAAATCCAGGAGTCTTTCCATGGCACCATGCTTCTAAAGCCTTCCCTCCAAAGCCTCTTATTGGACTTTAGTATGTGACGTGGTGTATTAAAGCTCTTCCTATCCCCTCCAGATCAGCTCCAAGACTGTAGATCCTCTGAAGACAAAGACCACATCCAGCTGAAGTTTGCATCTTCCCCAGCACAAGGCCCTTCATAAAGCAGTCATTTAATAACTGTTGAATGAATGAATGGATGGATGGATGGATGGATGGATACTTCTGAGCCAAGACTGGAATCCCTGTAAAGTAAAGCCAGTATTCTCTTGTCTTCACCAAACTGTCTTCCTTTGAACTGTGTTCAGCTCTAGGGCCCGCTGTTTAGAGAGGACGAGGTTAAGTTGGACAGTGTTCAGACAAAGGCAGTTAAGGCCATGGAGGGCCTGAGGGCCATGCCATATAAAACTCATCTCTCAGATGTGGGAAAATCAGAATACTAATGCATTGTTGGTGGAGTTGTGAACTGATATTCTGGAGAACAACTTGGAACTATACCCAAAGGGCTATAAAACTGTGCACACCCTTTGATCCAGCAATAGCTCTTCTAGGGCTGTATCCCAAAGACATCATAGAAAAGGGAAAAGGACCCACATATACAAAAATATTTGCAGCAGCTCTTTTTGTGGTGGCAAAGAATTAGAAATTAAGGGGATGCCCATCTATTGGGGACTGACTGAACAAGAATGTAATGGAATACTATTGTGCTATACGAAATGATGAGCAGGCAGACTTCGGAAAAACCTGGAAAGATTTGTATGGATTGATGCTGAGTGAAGTGAACAGAACCAAGAGAACATTGTACACAGTAACAACCACATTGTGCAATGGCCAACTTTGTTAGACTTAACTCTTCTGAGCAATGCAAGGATCTAAGACACCTCCAAAAGTCTCATGATGGAAAATGCTATCCACATCCAGAGAAAGAATTATGGTGTTTGATCGCAGATCAAAGCATACTATTTGCTCTTTTTTTTTCCTCTTCCGTTTTGTTTTGTTTCTTCTTTCTGGTGTTTCCTCCTATTGGTTCTAATTCTTCTTTACAACATGATTAATGTGAAAACATGTTTAATAGGAATATATATGTAGAGCCTATATCAGATTGCATGTCAACTTGGTGAGGGAAGGGGAGAAAATTTAAAACTCAAAAGCTTATGCAAGTGAATATTGAAAACTAAAAATAAATTAATTTAAAAAAAAAGAAATGGTGAGCAGTCAGACTTCAGAAAAACCTGGAAAGACTTGCATGAACTGATGCCCAGTGAAGTGAGCAGAACCAGGGGAACATTGTACACAGTAACAGCCACACTGTGTGATGACTGACTTTATTAGACTTAGCTCTTCCAAGCAATGCAACGATCTAAGACAATTCCAAAAGACTCACGATGGAAAATGCTATCCACATCAAGAGAAAGAACTATGGAGTCTGAATGCAGATCAAAGCATGCTATTTTCTTGTTTCTGTTGTTTTTTGTGTTTTCTTTCTCATGGTTTTTCCCTTTGGTTCTGATTCTTCTTTACAACATGACTAATGTGGAAATATGTTTAATATGCTCATGCATGTATAATCTATATCAGATTGCATGCCATCTTGGAGTGAGGGGAGTAGATGGAGGGGGGAAATTTTAGAACTCAAA